CTTTAGTAAATATAAAGGAAAAATCATCAAATACTTTATATGTAACGAATTTTAACAAAACTCGGATTGAACAAATAATGCGTGAATTGAAGTGTTTGTAAGTCCCCAAAAAAAATACTAAAGCTGAGCTCCGTAACAAATTCGAATTGAGGCAACAAACCTTAAATAAAATTAATTCTTTGGACAATTAAAATCAGCTTTTTTACTATCTGAAAAAACGTCCTTTTAAGTAAAATGAGTTGGCACTTTTTTTTTAAAGAACATTTAACATTAAATTACTACTGCTATTGGAATCTATAGCTGAAATGGGTAGTTTTTAATCTCTACTTAGTTAAGACACAGATAAATATTTTAAAAGTGAATGTATCTAACAACATCTTTTTGTAGACCTCTCATTCACACAAATACACAATTTTTTATTAAATTCAAAGAAAATGTTGGTAAAACTTGATGAGAGTATGTTCAACATGATTCTGAAATGCGCAGTCAATTGTTCTTCTAGACGATCATTTTCAAAAAACTCTTGGTTTGTCAAAAGGAAAGAAAATAAAGCAATAATTTATTGGAAAGTACTTTCATATTTTTTAAAATTATACTGTTATATTTATACTTTAAATAAACTTATAGTTAAATACAAATACAACTTAAACTAGGAGTTTAGTCCTATTATAGTCATGCAAAGACAAGTAGCAGTGAAGCTATATTCTTCTCTGGCAGAGCCTACAACCACCGCAGTTGTTGGTCAAATAGTATGACCACCCCAGAAATGATGTTTCGTACATCTAATACCAATATTGAATAATATTAAATAAAGTGTTTGATGAAGTTTTATTGCAATGCTTTGACTCGTGACAACAGTTCTGTTTCATCAAAACAATGGACAATTCAAATTTGAATAGCTTCCTATTTGCCAGATTTGCTTCGAAAATGGAGAAATTCAATCTGTGACAAAATCTGTTACTCTCAATATAAGCTATTGAAATTACTTGTATAAATAATTGTGGAATGGTTTAAAAATATTTGATATAAAACACAAAATGGTGTGCAGATTTTTTCTTAAACAAAGCAAGAAAAATCATTCCCACAGCCAATAAAATCTTCATGGATGGCTTAAATGTTTCTTGTTAGGTCGAATACTTCTGGGGCTACCCTCGTATGTGTATGTTGTCTGAAGTTTGCCTTGGCCTAACTTTTATGCATGAAATGCACATACACGCATCTTTCTGTTGCATTCTTTTGTACGCACGAGTTGATTGCAAAAATGCCATCTGCAAACCAACTATGCAGCTGCTCTCGGATCCCCAGGCATCTCCAGACCATGGAAATGCTAACCCCTAAAGTTAAAAACTCACTGCTGCCTATGCGGAAGTCCTCATTGTTATTTGCACTGCTGCTGTCAATGCCTAAACTCACGAAAGCCACTCATAATTTACATGCCACATGACAAGCTGTCAACATTTTTGCTTCCGCTTTACAGCTCAGAAAGAGAGGCGTTATGAAACAAAAAACACATTGCCTGCTGCTCTAACTGTTTCTAAGCACTACTTTACGCTCCAATTAGTCGACTCGCCTTGGACTTCGGACCATCCTTCTTTCTGCTGTGAAGCCATTTTGCAAAACGGAAATCAAATAATATTTTCATACTGATTTATGCATCTATATACATTGGACGTAAGCATAGCCTGTTGTATGTATAAGCCCATTTGCATTTGATTCATGCTCTAAAAAGCATGAATGATTCTATTCGTAAGACACTCCTGCCGCTGCTATGGCTGAAATAAATTACTTTGGTCAGCCGCTACTTCAGCTTATAGTTAATAATATTGAAGATTACATGGACTAACGACAAAAGCTGTTTCGATATGTATTTGTAACCTCAACTGTCAAGCTGTCAACTGGTTAGATTTACCAAAGAAGTCATTTATGCCTTTGCCAAAATACTTTGATTTTTTCAAACTGAGAAAGAAAATTGTACATTGGAAGCACAGTATTTAATCACGTCTCAGCTTACATTTTCTACATATTCTTATACAGTTTTTTGTATTTATAGACGCATATTTAAAATATATAAGCCACATCATACAAGTACGTGCAGATTATGGCGATAACAGGCACCTTGCTATGGCAGAAGTGATGCCATTTTAGATTATCGACAAAGAATAGAGCCTTAAGAGTCGGTGTGAAAGAGATTTTCGTCAAAGCCACGGAAAGTTCAGTTGTTGTTTGTGATAGTGCGCATTAATCTTTTTATAAATATTTGTTAACCTAAATCAAATACTAAATGAGCACATCACTTAAATTAACAAATTTGTATTGAAATCTTACAGTATTTATGCTCAGAACGTAATTAATTCAAATTGCATATTCAAAGTTGACAATAAATTTCAACATACATAATATTTCCAATGTCGACAAATTATCAAATTGATTGTAAAATATTTGGCGTTTTAATATAAAAAGTGCCATGACATGATAGTTTTACTTGTTAACCAATACAAATTTAAATGACAAGTTTTGATTTTTATTTTTAAATCTTTTTATAATAAAATGTTATGGCGTTTGATTGAAGAAACATTTAATTAATGTGATACGTTAAATTTAACTTACTTGCTCCTTATTATTTATTACAGCTAAGTTCAGTATTTCAATTCAATGTTTCACAACTGTTGATCTTATCGAATCTGCAGCAACTCAACATAAACGTAGCAGCTTAACAGTCAACATAAAAATATAACAAATTCTGTCTTTCTAATACGCTTAAAATCTATGATTTGTAACAGGTAAAAGCACTTGCCAATACAGCAGCTATGACATGTACACAGAACACATCATGGAATTAATGAAAAGTGAAATACGAAAAAAACTACTACTACAAAGTACTAACTATCTGTATTAGTTTTCGCTTTTTACTGCCAGCAATGAAAAAAAAATCAAATATTATAGGTAACAAAAAATGAAAGCAGGACACATGTAGGGCAACAAAACAAACACACACACACACAGAGAAACTCGACCCACATAAATAGCAACAACAAGTACCTTAGCATTGAGAACGGAGTGCGAAAAAGGAAACGCACGTGTAGGGACTTAGCGGACTGAAAGGAATGCCATGTATCCATGCCACCGACTCTGACTCCGGACTCTGACTAACGGATGCGTGCCCGTGCCCGTGTCCGTGTCCGTATGTTGTATTGGTGTCCGCTGCATGTTTACCCGACTTCTGGTTGCCTTGACTCACATTTTTTGCAGAACTAGCCAGGTTAGTACACAACACTTAGTATTTGTATGTAGTTCCTTTTTTTTTTACAGATTTTACTGTGCACGCACATACATTGGCTGCGCCGCAAAGTAGGCAACATATGATGTTGCTGGAGCTATTACTGCTGATGAACGACAACGAGTTTTAAGGGCAGCTTTGTTGTTGTTGTTGTTGTTTCTGAGCTGCGTACGTGACTTTATAGAGATAGTGCTTAAGTATTTTATATCATTTAGCATGCGTTTCGCATCTTATTTATTTATTTTGTTCGTATTTTTTCCTATGCTGTCGTTCCTATGCTGCTGGCAACCATAAATATTAATAGCTTGGGTCAAATAAACAATAGCCGACAAAAGTTGGCGCGCAAAAAGTAATAATAATAAAATTGCTTTAGTTCTTGGCGAAAGGGGCACTAACGACAACGCTGGACGCAAAAAACAAACCAAAAGCAAACTCAAGTTCATTTATTTTTATTGTTTTCGGAGCTTTTGGCGACAATTTATGACCAGCGGAATATATATGGACAGTGGTAGACAGCCGCACCCCGCCACGCCAATCTTTTCGACAATTTTTTTTACTTTTTATTTTGAATGAGAAAATTGCCTGTGCAGGCAGTGAAAGTGCAGGAAGAGAAATAGCAACATTACAACAACAATGAGAACCACAAAAATAATAATAACAACAACAACAAAAACTGCTGAGAAACTGAATGAATGAATGAATGAAAATGTAAAAGAAATAATTTACTTTGCCTTTTTGCCTCTTCTGCAGCAAGGAAAACGGAAAACGGACAAGCGGCAACATTCTATCTTATTTTTCACTAAATTTTAACAGGATTTAGACTCAATGCTCTATGCTGTCATTGCTAACAAGTGACGGCGACAATGTCGGCTACAACGACAACGATGACGACAATGAGGACAGTCAGAAAGAGGGCGGGAATGATGACTTGAGGGTGGTCGTGGTCATGCCCATACCCATACCCATACCCATGCCCATGCCCATGTCCATGTCCATGTCCGTCAAGCGTATGCCGGCCTCGGCTGGTGCCATTGAGCGTGTCGGTAGCCATGGAGTGGGAGTAAAGTTTTGTCCCAAATCCGCTTATGTCCGCGCCATGAGAAGAAAATTGTGATGTGATGATGCCCCCTTGGCGCTGGCATTTTTACTGGCACATAAATAAATTTCATAAATCTTTTGCACTTTAACGCTTCTGCTTTAACTTGCGACGATTGCCACATGCACACACACACACACACACACACACACATCCACACAAATATAAATGGAATGTTGACCTGCTTGCCTGTCTGCTTACTCTTGATATGATACACGTATGTGTGTGTGTGTGTGTGTGTGTGTATGTGTGTGTTTGTACGCCAATGGCCTTGGGCGGCATTTTGTTTGCCTGCCACATGGCTTTTGGTCAGTCTACTTGTGCAAACAAGAACAGCCACACAGCTACGAAAAGGATCCGGCAAACACCAAGGGACAAACTCACATAAATGAATTGTCAATTAGGCGTAAGCCTTTTAAGGCTTAAAGTAAATATATGGTCTGAAGTAAATCCTTGCAAATTATCAACAATAATACAGTTACTATACATATGTACATACACGTCAACTACAAGTATATATGTATATATATATAAGGGCCCAACTACTTACTCTATGGATATTCTGTCATAATTCAAATTCTATAGCACATTCATGTTTCATTACAAATATTAACAAAATTCTTGTAACGCCTTTAACAATTCTGAAACGGATTCTGTCTTTTTTGAATAAAGTTTTAATCCGCTGCATTCACACCATGCTGACTCTAGGCGATATTGATGGATTAATTGAAACTCTGATTACACTCAACGGTGCATATTGCACACTTGATGAGCAAATCCTTCGCTCGTTGTGTCTAAAGGCACGCGAGGTAATGATACGACAGCCCATGCTGTTGGAGCTGGAAGCGCCGCTTAAAGTATGCGGCGACATACATGGCCAGTTCTCAGATTTATTGCGCATTTTCGAGAGCTGTGGCTGGCCACCGAAATCAAATTATTTATTTCTCGGTGACTATGTCGACCGTGGTCAGCAGTCGCTTGAAACCATTTGCCTGCTGCTGGCCTTCAAAATACGATATCCGGAGAATTTTTTTCTACTCCGTGGAAACCATGAATGCGCCAGTGTTAATCGTATCTACGGGTAAGTAGCTTTATTGCTTAATCAACAATGTTTCCATTAAGCATTCTTGGTAAATCGGCCTTGTTCAATTTCAAATAATAAAAAAAGTTCATTGACCTCATCAAACCTTTGTAAAATCGAGAATTTTTGCTAAAAATATATTTGCGAGATACACATTTACTTATCAAATTGTATATTAAATGCCTTAAAATAGAGTATACTTGTATATTTGCTTACACAGCTTTTAGGTAAATTTCCATATGTTTTGAGTAGGTTAAAATGAGCATTTAGTTAGTGAGAATATTCGCGACCATTTTGGGAAAATTAGGTTTGAATTAATTAAATTTAAAAATAGTCTTTGAATGGTCATTATAGAAACATTATTATATTTCTTTAAAACACCCAGCTTATATATTAATAAAATTCAATTATAACCTGCTGATTATCTATACAAATTTGACTCCAAAGATTGGCAAACGAATAAATTGTGTAAAAAATTAACCAGCATTTTAAACTTAAGCCAATCAATTTTATGAAAACAAAATAAAAAGTACCCCATTTTTACTTTGTTTTACCTTTTTTTCTACCTTTACTCCTTGCCCAGGTTCTATGATGAGGTTAAGCGTCGATATAATGTGAAGCTATGGCGTTGCTTCACCGATTGCTTCAACTTCTTTCCTGTTGCGGCAGTTGTGGCCGATCGAATCTTCTGCTGCCATGGCGGCCTCAGTCCCAATCTGCATACCATGGATCAAATCAAGTGTCTGGAACGACCTACCGATGTCCCCGATCAGGGCCTGATGTGCGATTTACTTTGGGCCGACCTGAATCACAATGGTATTGGCTGGGGTCGTAATGTTCGCGGGGTCAGTTTCACCTTCGACGAGGCTCTTGTGCGCAGCTTTCTGAAGCGTCACAAATTCGATTTGATGATTCGTGCCCATGAGGTAGTAGAGGATGGCTACGAATTCTTTGCCAGTCGTCACCTCATAACATTATTTTCTGCTCCCAACTACTGTGGACAAATGAATAACGCGGCCGCCGTAATGAACATAAGCTACGACCTGACCTGCTCCTTCACCATTCTGCAACCGACAGTAATATATGGAAGTTGTTCAAAAACAGCTATAGAGCTGTACAATAAAAACTAAATTTCAAATGTTGAACTCATTTCTTTCATTCAACTTGCGCGTGCAGAAATGCCAAAGTATTAAATACCAAGTACCAGGCGCATTGTCATATTACTATAATACGCCATGGCTGTATAGTATACAAGTAGTGAGTCAAAAACACTTGGATTCCACACATACTTGCACAATCACATAAGTACATACACCGCATGCCTGAGTGCTGGCCGTCACCATTCGTACTCAGGCAGCTGTAAAAGTCGACAGGGCGAGTGCATGAAATCAAAGCGCTGCTTAAGGCTTCAAACGATTCGGCATGCCCGTGACACTGTCGATTATGTCTGACTGGGACTCCGACTCTGACTCAGGGTCTGATACCGACTGCTCTACCACTCTTGTTGAAAGGTCAATAGCAGGGCAACCTTTCGAGCATATGGAACCCCGACACTTACACACATAATATTTTTACACATATACATAGTATATATTAATATGTGTGTGTGTGTGTGTGTGTGTGTGTGTGTGTGTGTGTGTGTGTGTGTGTGTGTGTGTGTGTGTGTGTGTGTGTGTGTGTGTGTGTGTGTGTGTGTGTGTGTGTGTGTGTGTGTGTGTGTGTGCACCAGCAGCCAGACAAATCCAGGCAAACGAAGCACGACAGGTTGACTGACTGACTGCCTGGCTGGCTGGCTGGCTTCTGGCATGCCTCATCAAAGCTGACAAGCAAAGCACGCATCTTTTGGTATTTCATTTACAACTTTCATGCTGGAGCTTATGTACTTTGACCTTTCCTTTGATTTGCCAGTAAGTTCACTTAAAACAGCTAGGAGTGTGTCAAAATTACTATGAAGCTTGAAACTCGAACTAACCAAACCCTTCTTAATAGGATTTTTAAACAGACACCACTATAGGGTTGCAATTTATAGGACAATCATCACATCATTGCATTATTTAACAGTTTTCAAATGTTTTGAAAATGAAAAAGGAATTGCAATTTATTTGAAACCAATAAAAAATATTTGCTTGAGCAGATGTCTCTAAGCAATGTAAATACGAAAAGTGGTAAGACAAGCTGTTAAGCTAGAGAAAAACCTCAGCCAAATCCATAAAATGATTGCACAATAAATTGTAGATGAATATAAAATTGTTCAAGTACATTTTGCAAATTGTTTGACCACAAATTTATTGAACCGTGCGCTTCAAAGTATTCACTTTATTTCAGAGACAATAAATTGATTTTATTCTTAATATAAAGATAGTACAGACAAGTTAAAACTTTGCTGACGTTTTGTGAAGACAAGGATAAACAAGGGTCAGTCTACCATCCGAGGGCGTAGGCAAGGGGGGCAGTTCTGCCACAAAAAATGTTGCCATATAAAGTCGAGCACACGTTCATTATTATCACGCACTATTTGGCCTTAAAATGGATCTGAGTTGGATTTGTTGAAGTTTTTTCATTGATCATAAGTATAAGTTATTTTTTAAATGCATCGGGCATAATTTAATCAAAATTTAATTTTTTTGGCCCCCTCTTTAGTTGCTACCATCTGTAAGGAGACTATCACAATTAATTGGTTTGCCTGCTCAGTGAGTATTAATGAATTAAAGAGTGTATGTAGTTCGATGTACACTGAAATTAGTTTTCTTGAATTTGTCTAGGTGTGTATAAATCTTTTTAGCCAAATTAATTTTGCAGAGCTCCCAACTTGACATGACTGGGTTTGACTTGAACTCTGAGTTGCTGCTGATTTCCTGACATAACACTTACAGACACACATTATTATACAGAATGTACAAATATATAAAAGAACGCCGTGCGCTGCTCCTACTTGCAAGAGCAAAGTGGTATAACATTTACTTTCGTAGACACTCGTTTGATGAACCAACACATTTGAATGTTACGCTACTCAAGTTCAGCTAGAAATTTGTACAAAAGTCAACTAAATAAAATCGTACTCAAGCCCATGCCCATGTCCGTACCCGTATCCGTACCCATTCCGATGCTCATGCCAGTTGTCAACTTTCAGGGCGAGTGCAGCACATTTTGTGTGCAGTGTTGCATACAAAAGTATTTGAGTCTGTTGCTTGCGCCGCACGCTCGAATAATTTAATACACATGAGCTTGTGTGATGTTGCAGCAACGGCGACGCGGTGGCGAGGCAGTAGCGAGGCTGCTGCTGCTGCTGCTGCAACTAAGGCCAACTGAGCCAAGTTCCGGCAGACAAGCCACTAGCAAAGCGTATTCATTGGCCAAATATCGCTGGATATACGAGTATACTCCTGCTCGTATGCTGTGTGTGTGTGTGTCTATTTGCTACTGTTACCGCATTTGGCATGCATAGAACGTGCCATTTGACTGCAATTTATTTCGTGCTCAAAGAATTCCTCTTGTTGCTTCCTTTTCTGCTACTGCTGCTGCTACTTTGTGTTTGCAAAATGACAAATCACATTTATTTATTTTTGTGTTATTTACAATGCCACTGCAAAATGTCTTACCATAAACTGAAAATGCAAGCTGCTGGCTGCCTGCCTTGACTTAAATGCACCACAGTTGCTTGGTAACTGCACGTTTCCCAGCAATACTACTGACATCTGAGTTATAGACTTATCCACTCTTAGAAGTTGTGTAGCATATTGCGAAGCACATCTTTAAAAACTGGCCGCCGATCCGCACGAGCTTTGACGTCGTAGTATAAGGCACTAATCTTTAAGAAATTCAACAGCACGGCCCCATAAGCGCCTTAAAAGTTTTAACACAAAGCTGATTGCTGATGCAACATGCTGCTGGCTGTTTACTTTGTTAAACTGCTGGTGGCATAACTGCCAAACTGGGTCAGTCTCAGTTATGGAAGATGCAACCAGAAGGTGCTAACATACTTGTCTTTTCACCTGCCAATGCGCACACTGTACTGCTGCTTCAAGTAAAAGGAGAAGCCGATAATTCCCATGCATTTAATTAGCGGCATTCCTATTAGCGTGTGTACAGACATTGTAAAACCAGCTTAGAATACACTGTAAATACATATCATCTAAAGTGCTGTGTAGTTCTGATACTTTCTGCAAACAGTCCCAAAAACCAAAAACCAATTCATTTTCGTGTTTCATAAATTATTTTGGTCTCCAATATGCTCCTCTGAGATTCTAAAAACAAATCCTAAGCACTTAACTATACTATAATAATAATGATGATTCAATGTAATAATATGATTTTTTAATTTCAACAATATTTGTTAAATACATTTCGTAAACATTTGTACGGTAGATCTTATTGCATAATTAAGAAAGGCTGTAAAATCAGTTACTTAGCCGAACTTCACGGCCAACGATATGGTATTTGGGGAATACCCGTGCAGCCATGTGTAATAACCTGTCTAGTTCAGGGTAAATGTTGATAATCGACCGACGGTTTAAGCCAATCCAATGTAGTTCAAATATAGCTTTATTTTTAGCTTCACAATATAATAACGAAATACAATTACTACTTCTAATACTACTACTACTTCTGCTACTACACAAAATACTATACAATTTTAAAATTTGTTTCCTTCTTCTTAAGTTCTTCCCACAATTACCCTTTTATGGTTTAAGTTTGCAAAGTTTACTTAAATTTTTTTAATTTTTTGGTAAATAACATGTAGACTAAACCTTTGAGTATACGAATTCAAAAGTATTTTATTACATAGGAAAAATAAAACATTTCCATATGCATGCTAGTGATCTATTGAGCTATTTGTGATTGTGCTTATGGAAATTAAATCGGCCCTAGGCTTAGGATAATTAGTGCCTCATTCATAAATTCCAGTGAAGAAAATTTAGTTATTAGTAATACATTGTTGTTTCCTTATGCTCCGCCTTACTGCTTTAATAATAACAGCACTATAAATGATGGCCATCTGGCTACAATTTGAAAAGCAATCTGTGTACGGCACTATTCGAATTACAGAAATGCAAGGAAATTCAAATTTTTGACTAAGAAATTTGGAATCAAGGCGGCTTAGTTGATATTTCAAAAATATCCATGGTACCATGATTTTCCTTCGAGTGTATCTGATATCTTCAGCTAAGGTATCTAAAGCATGCCACACACTTTGACAAATGACCGAATGACTCGACCCCTCCTGATAATGACTCCCCGATAAAGTTAAGGCAGACGCATTGACGGTAGTGCTTAACTTAGAAGGGCGCTAATGTCTTGGAGTAGCGTCATTTTTGGTAAAACTTTAATTAGCCAAATGTGCGCGCTAATGACAACAAATGGGCGCATTGGTGCCAAAAGTTAACAGTAAGAGTAAAAGCATATTAACTTGAAGGCAAAAATATTATTAGTTGTAAACATGATACACACAACATACACACACAGCCCACACACACTTACATACACATAACTATCGAATACATGTACGCCGTCTAACAGGCTCTGAGGCCCATGATCAATTTTCATTTAAGTGTTGTTGTGTCCTGGTGCTCCTGGCCTTAAAGTTAAATGCCAGAAAACAAAGCCAACAATGTTGCACGAAGGCCTGAACTGAAGTCGACTCGGCTCGACTCGACAGGACTCGACAGGACTCGACTCGACTCGACTCAATCAAGTTAATGGCAGCCAAATGGGTTTTTGATGCTCTCGCGCTCGCGTGCCCCTGCTACACAAAATGCCTTCATAAAAAATGATTGTTACGCGCTCGTGCCACCGCGACGCTTAATGAAGAAGAGTGGACATTTGGCTTAGCGTTTAATGTGTGCAGCTGGCGACGCTGATGACGAGAAAGATGGCTGGTGATGGTGAAGATGGCGGCGTCGATGTCGGTGTCGATAGAGGAAACGACGCTGAGGTATAAAAAGTAAATAAGTTTGCTTAGCCATACGGCTGACTGGGGGCGTGCCAAGTTTCTTATTGACAATTTGAGCATTTGTGCGTTAAATTCTTACGAGGCGAAATGTTCGAAAAGTTGCCGCCCATATTTAATAACGGCACTTCATTGTGGCACCTTATATTAGTCCTTGTTTTCCGCTTCCTTTTTTCATCCAGGCCATCAGTATTGTTG